CAAAAGACGGGCGGGCACTGGGGTTTGCACCCGGAGGGGCCGCGACCCCTGCTGCCACCCACCCACTCCACGCCCCATTTTGGTCACCCCGGTGGGTGAGTTGTGTCGTCCCCACCCCTGGGTGATGATGAGCGTGTGGAGGCACTCGGAGCACGTGGCACTGGCTGGGAGTCACAGGGGGGCCTTTCCCGTGGCCTCAGCGCCCGCCAGGCCTGGAGCGACACGGACAGCTTTGCTGCCTTAGCGGAACCCCTGGTCTGAAGGAAGTCTCTCTCTCGGTTAACTCAGAGGACACAGTGCCCACGCGCCCCACCTCGGGGCCTGTGGCCTTTGCGCCTCCTACGGAGCCAGGCAGCCCGCTCCCTGGGAGGCAGAGTCCCCAGCCCTCACTGTGCCCATCTTCCTGCCCCGACGCGGGGACACCACCTGCTGGCGGAGGCACCGAGGCCGGAGGCCTGACATTCATACCACGGAGACACTGGGCTGCAAACAGGCCCTTCTAAATGGGGACCTGCAAGTTTAGCAGCTCCCCGCACACGCGTGGGCGTGGGAGTGGGCGTGGGCGTGGGCGGCTCCTAAATCACTCTCCTTGGTGGGGGCAGGTGAGCGGGCGGGGAGGCCAGGGGCAGCGGCAGGTGGTGGCGCCACCCTGAGAGCAGCCAGTGCCGTCACTGCCATTGCGGCTGTCTGCCAGGGACGGAGGGAGGGCAGCGGGTGTGCAGTGTGTGCTGTGTCTGGTGTGTGTGCTGTGTGTTTCTGTGTGGTGTGCGCTATGGAGTGTGTGTCTGGGTATATGTGTGTGGTGTGTGGTGGTGTGTGCGGTGTATCTGTATATATGTGTGGTGCGTGTGTTGTATATTTCTGTGTGGTGTGTGGCATGTGGTGTGTGTCTGTGTATATGTGTGTGGTGTGTGCAATGTGTACTGTGTATATGTGTGGTGTGTACTGTGTACTGTGTATATGTGTGGTGTGCAGTGTGTGCTGTGTATATGTGTGGTGTGTACTGTGTACTGTGTATATGTGTGGTGTGTACTGTGTACTGTGTATATGTGTGGTGTGCAGTGTGTACTGTATATATGTGTGGTGTGCGGTGTGTGCTGTGTATATGTGTGGTGTGTGCTGTGTATATATGTGATGTGTGGTGTGTCTATGTACATGTGTGCAGTGTATATGTGTGCTGTGTGTCTATGTACTTGTGTGATGTGCGGTGTGTACTGTGTATATGTGTGGTGTGTGATGTGTGGTGTGTGGTGTGTGGTATGTGCTGTGTATATGTGTGCTGTGTATATGTGTGGTATGTGCTGTGTATATGTGTGCTGTGTATATGTGTGGTATGTGCTGTGTATATGTGTGGTGTGTGATGTGTGGTGTGTGGTGTGTGGTATGTGCTGTGTATATGTGTGCTGTGTATATGTGTGGTATGTGCTGTGTATATGTGTGCTGTGTATATGTGTGGTATGTGCTGTGTATATGTGTGCTGTGTATATGTGTGGTATGTGCTGTGTATATGTGTGCTGTGTATATGTGTGGTATGTGCTGTGTATATGTGTGCTGTGTATATGTGTGGTATGTGCTGTGTATATGTGTGCTGTGTATATGTGTGGTATGTGCTGTGTATATGTGTGCTGTGTATATGTGTGGTATGTGCTGTGTATATGTGTGGTGTGTGATGTGTGGTGTGTGGTGTGTGGTATGTGCTGTGTATATGTGTGCTGTGTATATGTGTGGTATGTGCTGTGTATATGTGTGCTGTGTATATGTGTGGTATGTGCTGTGTATATGTGTGCTGTGTATATGTGTGGTATGTGCTGTGTATATGTGTGCTGTGTATATGTGTGGTATGTGCTGTGTATATGTGTGCTGTGTATATGTGTGGTATGTGCTGTGTATATGTGTGCTGTGTATATGTGTGGTATGTGCTGTGTATATGTGTGCTGTGTATATGTGTGGTATGTGCTGTGTATATGTGTGGTGTGTGATGTGTGGTGTGTGGTGTGTGGTATGTGCTGTGTATATGTGTGCTGTGTATATGTGTGGTATGTGCTGTGTATATGTGTGCTGTGTATATGTGTGGTATGTGCTGTGTATATGTGTGCTGTGTATATGTGTGGTATGTGCTGTGTATATGTGTGCTGTGTATATGTGTGGTATGTGCTGTGTATATGTGTGCTGTGTATATGTGTGGTATGTGCTGTGTATATGTGTGCTGTGTATATGTGTGGTATGTGCTGTGTATATGTGTGCTGTGTATATGTGTGGTGTGTGGTGTGTGGTGTGTGGTGTGTGGTGTGTGGTGTGTGGTGTGTGGTGTGTGGTGTGTGGTGTGTGGTGTGTGGTGTGTGGTGTGTGGTGTGTGGTGTGTGGTGTGTGGTGTGTGGTGTGTGGTGTGTGGTGTGTGGTGTGTGGTGTGTGGTGTGTGGTGTGTGGTGTGTGGTGTGTGGTGTGTGGTGTGTGGTGTGTGGTGTGTGGTGTGTGGTGTGTGGTGTGTGGTGTGTGGTGTGTGG